ACAAGTATTTTTATTCTTAGTATAAAAAATCACCTTTCATCAGTGTATGAAACTTCACTCAAACTGACAGAGTAAAGACTTCGGAAATTTACAAACAAAGCTTTATTACAAATACTTCATTAAAAAATCCGATTATTTTAATGTACAATAATCTTCAATGTTTACAAAAAGCTTGTCAAATTTCATGGAGATATGCTAAGTAAATCAGGCCTCAATATTTTCAGAGCTAGGAGCCAATCCCAAAACTCAGGAGCCAGGTGTGCCTAACTTCACTACTGTTTGTACCAGGAAATGGGGTCTACACTAGTGTCTTAATTGTCTGTGCCTCCAGTATCTGTTTTTTTCTTTTCCACAAATTTTCTCAAAACAATTGTGCCATTATAATTCTAGACTATAATTTACATGTCTTGGAGATATTGTTGCTCATAAATTAATTTTATTTGAAAAGTTCACGTGTTGCATGATATCTGGGGCTTTCACGTGCGTTCAAATCATAAATTGGCCGGTTCAAGCCTTGCCTCTTAAAATTTTTAGCTGTTAAGACAAGAATACAAAATATTTGTGGCTTGGTTAACTGTATTTGATTAGTGATTAAAGACATAGTACTTATTCAAAAACATACAAAATACACATTAAGATTTCTTAAAGATTTCACTCAACTTCAGTTGTCTTCCTTTAACCACAGATGCATGTTCAGGTTATGTAAGTGTGTCGGCCAATTTACACATTTTCCTCTTCCCTACAGGTAATTGGTATTGTCAGTCTGTTTTAACAAAGGTTTTTCATAATAATTCCCAAGCATAGATTTACACTAATTGTTTACTTATTTTTCACAGGCATTGATAGGGTGCGAATGCACTTCCGTGTCTACAGCAGAAAAAGTGCCAAAATTTAGGAGCTTTTTATGCCTGTGTTAGCAATTAAATTCAACTAAAAAGGGAACTGGCAACCAAAAGAGGAAGTATTATATATAGGAGAGAAAGTGGAATTGGACTCGTGTAGCTCACAAAATTCGTAGAAATCGAGAATGACTGATCGACCGACACTTGTCTTTTATGATTATGATTGTGACAGTTTTTACAATTTTTCATTATAATGTGATTAAATGACAGTAAAAAAGTTTCTAATTTAAAACAAGGAACTTAAACATACTGAAAATTTCTATTTAGATTACACAATGGGCTAACTAGTGAAATACACTAGTGCCTCGATTATCCGTAATTTTTTGCTTTCCCTGGATCAGCATGGATAATCAAGGCTCCAGTGTATATTTATTTACTTTTACAGCAACAAGTGCATGCTAACAATCATATAATATCAACAATCACTTGATAGTATTGCCTGAACTAACTGCCTTTGGTCCAATTGGAGTCTAAACACATGCACTTATTGGTTGAATTGAGAGAAAGAAGAAAAACAAAACTGAAATTGGTAATGTGTTGTGCAACCACAATGCTTCATTCTTGAAAATATGAAGTGCTGAATGCACCATTAAAATCCTGGAAACAAAGTTCAATTTAGGATTCACAAAATTTGAGTTCTATTTAGTGCAGCCCTACACAACAACGTGAGAAAATACTAGGTGCCACGATGAAATGTTTTAGTCACCTTGGTGCCCTGATACCTGAGATTAGTCGAGGCCTGAAGTACTGTATTTTTCAGTGTATAAGATGCACTTTTTGTTACCCCAAAATTTGATATCAAAATCTGCTTGCATCCTATACACCGCAGGTATGAATAATATATATATATATATATATATACG